GACACCTGATGCATCGACCATTGATCTCAAATCTGATTTTTCTAGCCCAAGTAAATTACTAGTTGGCAATGGTGTACCTCTTTCGATTCATGCTATTGGTAAATCTACTTTATGTTCTAATTCTCGAGCGCTTATGTTAAACGACTTATTGCATGTCCCTAAGATTACAAAGAATTTGTTATCGGTGTCTAAGCTTTCTAGGGACAACAGTATTTACTTTGATTTTTGAGCTACAAGTTGCTATATTCAAGATGAACGGTCTGGTGAGCTTTTGTTGCAAGGTGAAGAACGAGGTGGTCTCTACTTCTTTCAAGTGGATGTTGATGCTGCGAGTAGTAGTCAAACAATAGCTTATTTTGTTCTTACTTTAAATAAATTGTATGAACTATGGCATAGGCGTCTAGGGCATCCTGCACATGAGACCCTAAACAAGTTTGCTAATCACTTTATATAGTTGTTGATAAGAAATTGAATGAACAATGTGTTGCTTGTCACATGGGCAAAAGCCATAGGCTCCCTTTTACTGATTCAGATATAGTCTATTTTGTTCCATTTCAATTAATCTACACTGATTTATGGGGACCGTCACATGTGGTTTTAAATGGTTACAAGTACTATGTGACTTTTGTAGACGCGTGCACACATCACACATGGTTGTACTTGCTAAAGGATAAGTCACAGGCAGTTCATACGTTTCAACTGTTTTAGCAGCTTGTTTCTACACAATTTGATTTGAAAATACAAGCTGTGCAGAGTGATTGGGGAGGAGAGTTTCGCAGCCTGTCTCGTGTGCTTCTAACAGTTGGTATTTCGCATCGGTTAACTTGCCCACACACGTCTGAGGAAAATGGAGTCGTAGAAAGAAAGCATAAGCATGTCATTGAACTTGCTCTCGTACTCCTTGCTCAAGCATCTATGCCTCTTAAATTTTGGGCTTATACTGCAGTAATGGCAATTTATCTTATTAACAGGCTGCCAACTCGAGTCTTGCAAGGACTGTCTCCGTTTGAATCGTTGTTTCATAAAAAACTCGACTATGCTTTGCTCAGAGTATTTAGGTGCAGATGTTTCCCGTATCTACGCCCTTTTAATCATCATAAATTGGAGTTCAGATCGCAACCGTGTACATTTCTGGGTGTGAGTCCTCAACATAGAGGTTTTTTGTGTCTTGGGGCAAATTACCGAGTTTATGTGTCTCGACATGTCAAATTTGACGAGTGGCAGTTCCTTTTTGCAGTTGAAAATAATGATGGTACGTATGGGTCTTCTGGTATGACTAGTCGACTTCTTGTTGTTGTCATGGATATTCGTAGGTTGGGTGATGTAGCTCATGAGATGCTTGGAGATCAGCAGGCTCCAGTGTGTGATCATGAAGATTCTGTTGGCTCGTCTAATGGTCTTGAAGATTCATCTGCGTCACTTGATGATAATGAAGTTAATTCCTCATCTCCAGAAGAGGTTGTTGCACCTAATGAGTCTGCGCAGGAGTCTGATGTCAATCATCATCCCATGTTGACTCGTAGTAAATGTGGAGTTTACAAGCCTAAAGTATATTCCATCATTGTTAGTGATGGTGTTCCAGCTAACGTTCATGAGGCCTTAATGTCACCCAACTGGGCAGCAGTGGTTAATGCTGAATACTCAGCCTTGGTTCAGAACAAAACCTGGAGTCTAGTTCATATGCCAAGTGATAAGGGTCTTGTCAGTTGCAAATGGTTGTTTAAGCTTAAGAGGAATGATGATGGTTATGTTCATCGTTATAAAGCTCGGTTAGTTGCTAAGGGGTTTTCACAAGTCCCTGGTCATGACTTTATCGATACGTTCAGCCTAGTTGTTAAATTTGCAACAATATATGTGGTCCTTGATATTGCGGTTGCTAAGGGCTGGTCTCTAAGACATATAGATGTTGATAACGCCTTTCTCAATGGTGATTTGATTGAAGATGTTTATATGCGACAGCCCCCAGGTTTTGAACAATTTGACTGTGTTAGATCTCTTTTAGTGTGTAAGCTGAATAAAGCCTTGTATGGGCTTTGACAAGCTTCACGGAACTGGAATGAAAAACTTAAAAATAGTCTGCTTGAGTTAGGTTTTACGGTTTCATGAGCGGGTGCTTCCTTGTTTGTTCGCATCTTGAATGGCTCTTGCACATATCTTTCAGTCTATGTCGATGACATAGTAATCACTGGGAATTCAGATGATGACATCAATGTTGTTGTGTAAATGCTGAACAAAAAATTTTCTTTAAAAGATCTTGGAGAACTTTCATTTTTTCTTGGCATTGAGGTCAAAAGGAGAGGTGCTGACTTAGTTCTTAGCCAAAGAAAATACATTCTGGAATTGCTGGAAAGAACGGATATGCTTCGAGCCACTCCAACATGCACTCCTATGATAGCGTCATTGAAAGGGTAAAGTAAAGGGAGTGTGTTGTTGTCCAATGCACGTGAATATCGTAGCATCATTGGTGCATTATTATATGTTTGTCATACACGACCTGAAATTGCCTTCTCGGTTAATAGAGTAGCTCAATTCATGCAAGTACCATGCGAAGAACACTTGGTAGTTGTTAAGCGTATCCTACGTTATCTGGCTGGCACAACAGATTATGGTCTGTTATTTTCGGCTGTGGATATTAGGCTGTGTGTCAAGGCATTTTCAGATACTGATTGGTCTGGTGATACTGGCGATAGGCGTTCAATGACTGCCTATTGAGTTTTTCTTGGTAACCGTTTAGTTACCTAGGTCTCGAAGAAGCAGAAAACGGTTTCTCGTTCGACGATGGAAGTTGAATATCATAGTATTGCTAAAGCTAATGCCGAGGTAACGTGGGTTGTTGCGTTATTAAATGATCTACGATTGAAGTCATCTGATGATCCCGTTGTTTGGTGTGATAATACAAGTACATTTGCAATGTCTGCTAATCCTGTGTATCATGCGAAGTCGAAACATGTTGATCTTGATATACATTTTGTTAGGGAGAAGGTTGCAACAGGTTGCCTAAAGGTGAGTTATGTGTCTGCTGGGTTTCAGCTTGCTGATGGATTTACTAAGCCCTTGACGAAGGCACCGTTTAAGTATTTCGAGACAGACTTCATGTATGTCCATGTTAAAATAACAAACGACAGAAGAAGAGAAAGATGGGAGAATGTTAGCAAATAAGGTTGAGTGTGAATGAAACTAGAGTGGTGGCTGAGTGGTTATGATGTATGTGAGGTTGTTGAGTGCTGTGAGTGTGTGTGAACACGACTTTCTGTTGAGTTTGTTAGCTGAGCTGTCATGAGTTTGTTAAATAACAAGTTTTATAAAAGGGTATTATGTCCTCAATGAAATGCATGAAATTACTTCTTTATTCTTGGTGTTAGTCTCTTTAAACCAGTAATCCATTACTTAAAATACTCTTCCAATGCAGGCGCGAACAAGAAGGGGGGGAAACAAATTTCCCTCGATTAGCGATCTCTGACTGCTGTCATCATCTGCACCATAAAACTTCTCATCCTTTGGATATATATATATATATATATATATATATATATATGATAATGATGATATGTTATCAGTTTCTCATCATCATGATGGGTTTTGTTGCTATTTTTGAAAGTGAAATATTTGAAGGATTTCGGGACAAAAACAGAGCTGCTTTTAATTTTGTATGGAATTTAGGAATGGATGTGAGGGAGGGAGAGCGATTGTATATTTGCATTACCTAATTTTAGGTCACGGACCAATGGAATCTAGTGTCGTGTTTTTTTAAGTAAACTATGCCGATAATCACCCTTTTATTGTTTTTCTTATTTTAGTTATTAGATTTTTTGATAAAATATCATAATATTTTTATTTTTATTTCAGTTCTAAGATTTAAATAAACACTAATATAGATATTAGTATTATTTATTATTATTATTATTATTATTATTATTATTTAAATCATTTTCTCTCCTAATTAATATTGATGTGTCAGCATCTAACTAGTCTAAATAAAATTAATAAAAAAATAAAATATCAATATTAATTAAAAGAAAAAATAATATAAAATTTTAATAAAATATATATATTTTATATAAAATGATGAAATAACTTAATAAACAATTTACATTCTCCTCCTCCCCACTTTCCTATAAATTCAGGGATGTATCGAGGGGTGAGTGTGGACAATTGTCTCGAAAAAGTTAAAATTATTATATATTTTAGTTTTTTTTATATATTTTATATTGAAGATATATTTTCGTCCCTAAAATTTTATAAATTTAAATACGTCTCTAAAATTTTAAAAGTTCAAGTTCAACCCCTCAAACATAAAAGCTTGCGTTCGTCCGTCCTTACCTATCATAGTTACTAAACTAAGTGATATTAGGTCGCTGAAGGTTCCTCAAATATAACTAATTTCTCCTCTAGTTCGTATGCTATATTAGCGAGGTGGCCTGCTCGTTTATTTTGTTGGAGAAAAATATTACTGGGAGACTTTCATGTGCTATTCTCCAGGTAACAACATGGACAGGCAGGATAAAAATAGCTAAAGCCGAGATAGCGTCTGCTAGGTGTGGAATGTTCGCATAAGCCACCAATATGATAATAATTAGATCGTTTATGCTCAACTTTGACTCTCAATTCATTACAATTAGGGATAATAATTTAATCCAACTTAATCGAGCCATGTATAGATTGAATCCTAATATCTGGCAATCGATTAAACTGACCTATATTTATATTTCAAACAGTAAAAACAATGTAGATCAGGCGATAGATACACAACTGTTGCAGTGCAGAAACCAATATTCTAAATACGAATTTGAATCTTAACATTTACAATCTTTTTCTAATTATAAACTATTATCTCGTTGATGGCCGCTTTGATGTGAAAATCCTTTCGGTGGCCAACACAATGCAATTAACCTCGATATCCCCTACAACTTTGTCATTAAGTGTACATCCAGTCGGTATAAATAATCTACCTACTTCATGTTTAAGGTCACAACAACAATCAATTGCATCAAAGGTTTGAAATGGCAGAGAAGGAAGGAGGTGTTGTGAAGAAAGGCCATGAAGAGGGAATGGAAATGGCCATTGCTCTTCTCCAAGAGTTTGGCCTCCCATTGGGACTTCTCCCTCTTGAGGATGTTATCGAGGTCGGTTTCGTAAGGGATACGGGCCACATGTGGATTGTGCAAAAGAAGAAGGTTGAACATAACTTCAAGATGATCAAGAAATTGGTCAGCTACGACACTCAAATTACAGGTTTCATCGACAAGAACAAGATCAAGAAGCTCAAGGGAGTCAAGGCTAAGGAACTCATGTTGTGGCCCCCAGTGAATGAGATCATAGTCGATGACCCACCTACTGGAAAAATCCACTTCAAGAGCCTTGCTGGTGTCACCAAGACGTTTCCCATCGATGCATTTGCTGCTGGGCAGTAAAAATTGAACCATCTTGGTCTCGGGAACCACAAATTCCTCAGTTCAAACTCAACTTATATAACCTATACTACAATGTATGCAATTCACTTGATAAGAATATGAATAGTTTTATAATCATGCAAGTACACAACAAAGAACAATAAAAACCAAGTGACTTTTTTCACTCAATGGCTAATCCAATCTCCATAAATTTACTTGGCATAACACAGATTCACTCATTTAAAATCAGTTCCTCTCATTTATCATCCAAGTTCGAACATGATTATCCAAGACTTCCATGTTAGAGAGTGTACTCGTATCCGGATATACATCGCATACACTTCATGAAACACGAAGAATCGGAGTAACATAAAGAAACAGAAGCAGCAATTAATAGAAATAGCCATCCATTACAACAGGATAGCATTTTGTTGGTGTTATTGAATCATCTACAAATGTTAATCTCCAACAACAAACTACCAAATTCGATCATGGAATTAACTAAGATTAGTTCATCAAGCAACATAATAAGCCTGGTTCTTTAATTCCTTTTTTCACATATAGCACTCATCTATCCTATTCTTATGCAACTGAAAAGCAGGATTCACCCAAGCTCCACAATTGCATTGCATACCTGCCCAATTAAACGAACCCAATCGAGCTTTACACCCTATACACTGAAGCTTCTCTTCGACATATCCGTCTTGAACCGGTTGCATCCACTTCAACGGCTCGACGAATATAGAGGAACATTGGGTGGGTTCCCTCTCTTCGTCCCCAACGTTATGCCCACTCCTTTTTCTCCACTTAAAACATTGCCCACCTTGCCCTCGTTCGTGTGGAACTATGCTTTCCTCCGAGGCAACGATCCTTCGGCATCTTTTGCAGCGGTAGAGAAGTTGCGGCTTTGAAACGGGCTCCGAATTAGAATCATTCGTCGATTCCATCTGTTAGACAAACGTAAAATTCACCATTGAAACAGAATCTTATAGTTAAGAAAAAATCTGGGTTATATTACAATAAATTCAAGAACAATAGAACATGAATCGAAGCAAAAACAAGTAAGAATTTAGGTTTTGAGAACGATGAAGGTTACCTTGGCAAAGAATCAGCAATCAATCATTCGATCGATCGCGGTGTATAATTTGTTCGTTCCCAGTCGTTTTGGTTATATATATGCGTTCTTGAGACGCGGCCATTTAAATCGGTGACGTTTGAAGATGTTGGGCTTGTGGGCCTTGTCTAGGTTTTCATATTCGAGACAGTGGGTCAAGCTAAGTTCATTTTGGACTTGGGTATGAATTCTTTTTTAAGAATGGATGAAGGCAATTGTTTTCAAACTTGTCTCTGGACCTTTTTTTTTTGTTCATATTGGTATCGGAATTTGATAACTTTCCCAATCTGATCCCTAAACTTAAATTTTTAGTCCTTTATGAATATATGGTATGACGTTTTTAGTTTGAGTGAAGTACACTAGGAATCACTGAACCATACACAAATGATTTTTTCTAGTCATTAAACTTTTAAAAATTATAAGATGATCATTAAAGTTACAAAAATATAAAAAATTATCAATATGATGATACAATAATAAAAAAATTTGTTTATATTAGTTACCATTTTATAAAGTTTTGATACTTTTGTAGCATTGCAATAATCAATTTGTAACAGTTTGATTAATCTAATTATTATTATGTAACTTTTGAAAATTTATTGACCAAAAAGATCATTTGAACATAATTCAATGACGAGAAAATCTTTTGTATCTTAATTTGTTCGAATTTAATTCTAATTTTAATTTTTTTTAAATCAAATCTAATTTTATTTAACCCAAAAATAGATAATTAAAATCTCATAACTTCATCCATCCAACAACTAAAAGAAGAATTTTAAACTTTATTTCAAAGCTCAAGCAAGTGGATATATAATATGAAGTGGGTATAATGATGATTGTGAGGTGAAGAACACGATTTGTACCTAAACCACGTGTTAGATGAGGGCACAACAAAGGGTGATGCAGTGATGCTTTCAAATTGTATAATAATGTAGTATTCAAGTGGCCGTCCACTTTAACACCACAACTCATCTGCTAAACTGTAGCCCACCTTATCCATCTTTATATTATTTATTTCTATATATATATATATATATATATATAGTTATTTATATAAATTTTTTAAAATAAATTTAAATTTCAAATAAAAAACAATTACATATATTGAAATTTGAATTAAGATCTAACTCAAATTATTGAATTTTATTATAATTTTAATAGTTAAAGATTATTTAATAATTAAATTTATTTAAATAGAATACTTAATGAAAAAAAAAGACAATGACTAAGTAAAGATTGAATCTTAAGTAGATAAGTTGTTTAAAACTCTAAAATGTATTAAAATAAAAAAATTAAAAGGGGTATGAATCATGAGTTTCTTCAGATTTCTTTGGACTTTTTAGCTGTCAAAAAATGATATTGTTTTTAACAAGAAAACGGTCAATGTAGAAGGCTTATTTGGCTTAAGACTGCAATCTGAATATCATTCAAACTTTCAATCCAAGAATTCATTCGTTGCCCCGAAGCTATTCAAAAGGTAAGCTCTTGATTGTTGTTCGGTGTTAAGGCGTTCCCACCTTGAGGGTAAAGTTTCTGTATTGCAATTATGATGTGTTATCTGCGTGTTTTTGCTGCTATGGTTCAGAAATGGATGGTCGCGTGTTTCTAGTGTTTATTTCTAGTTGTGTCATCTGCCTATTTCCTGCTGCTCTAGTTCAGAGTTAGTTTTGTTATAGTTGTGTTGTCCTTATTGCTGCTGTGCTTGTGTGTTGAAATCCTTGTTGTGTGAGGTATTGTGGACGTGAACAGGTGGTGGCATAAGGTCTATGAGTGTTGATAGGACTTGATCATTGTTCGATTGCTGCAGATGTGTATTAGGTCGGGAAGCATTGATGTTTAGTATTGTAAACCATGGCTTGTTATACAGCCTGTTTTTTAATTAGATCTATAATCGTGGTACATTCTTTTCCCTCCAATTAGATTTGAGGAGATTTTTTTAATGAGACACACGTTTGTATTTATGATTTTATCGTGATGAATAAAATATACAAAATCTCCCCTTTTTCATAAAAAATCAAAGATATTTTGTGATTTCTACTAGTCTCCAAACTAGCATAGTTATTAAAAATATGATGAGATTCAGCTGGAAAACGTAGATGATGTTTGATTGATTTCATTAGTGATTTAATACGCTCGAATCCTACATCTTTAACATGTATCATTGACTTATTTTATATATAAAAAAAATTGATTCGTTTGATTTCAAACTCAGAAAATTAAAAATTAATATGATAGTGATTAGTTTGACGAAACTCTATATCATATTATACGCTCAAATTATATCTTGTACTCGTTCGTCAACAACTATAAACCTAACAGTTTTTATATTTATTTTTAAATATCGTTCTTCGATACAAATCAATAAAATAGAAGAATAAATTTGCATTCTCGATAAGATTGTCCCATTACCGACTGGAATAGGGACCCTCTATGTCTGCCTTGTAATTTACACGTTTCGGTGATTAGATTGACGTCGTGGGAGAACCGCTCAGCTTAATTTGTTTATTTAAACCCAATTTATATACAATTTTGCATACCTCATATTTAATCAAGAGAGCATAAAAAAATAATTATTCCTTAAAAAATAATACCTTTTTAATTAGTATTTTTATGGGAACTTCCTGGCGTGCACTTTGCAGGATCTTATGAGATTTATTCAACAACTTGATCATTAATTTCAGCACATGGACTAGTGTTCGTCAGTTGGGTTTTTATTTAAGATATTGATAAAAAAATTTAAATTTTTACATTTACATTTAATGCATCGATTTATTGATCCAAAAAAAGATAGTATATTAATTCGATTAAATCCTACAACTGAGGGAGGCTAATTGCCAATATCCACTAAATGATTTAATAAAACTTAATGTTATTTGGCAGCTATCAAGGTTACTACAACCGGTGGTTTAATGCGTGATCATATAAGATTTTGATTCGGGAGATATATCTATAGCATTAGATTTTGCTCTATTTTTTAGTACGAGTTCTGTGTTATTTTTTACTAGTTAGATTGTATTTAAATATATATCATATGAATGTAATAAGATTAAATCGTATGATAAAATGATCTGATCATAACTGAAAAGGTTAAAGTTGATTTCGTTTTTAAGGAAAGGGTGACTTCTTTGTCACAATCAATTAGTTTAATGATTTGTTTATAACTATTTGAAACACAATGACTCGTTTGAAATTTTATTAATAATTGAACGACCCTGTGATGTAATTTAACCAAAAATAAATGGGGAGCTCGTTTAATGGTTGGTAACTTGGTATACGGATTGAAAGATCAACAAAACGTGGAAGAATACAAAGATCTCTACGTTCCAAAATTTTGTTTCCTTTCTCCTTTTGACCACTTCACTTTGTAATGGTATTTTGGGGACACCCAATGTTTGCAAATTGCAATAAGTTGTGAAACTTTGCAAGTGCATCTTCATAGTTTTCAAGTGCTTTTTTCGGTAAACAAAGGTGGCCTAAGAAAAGTGGTAGGATAGTTCAAATCTGAACTTTTTGTTAAAAAATAATTGAATGAACCCTTTGAATTAAAGTTTGGGTTTAGCGTTCAGGGATGAAGCTAGAGAGAAAAAAAACTTGAGGGACACAATGTTAAACTATAAATTTTTTAGGTATCAAAATGTATTTTTTATCAGTGTACCTATTTTAAAATTTTACAATTTTAAAAGGCTTAGATTACATATTTAATAATCCAGAGGGCCGAAAATAGATTTTTACCATTACATAAATTTAAAATTTTACAAATAGTTGTTTAAACTATTTTTTGACTCATCCAATATCTAACATTACAAACGTTATCCATTTAGGTGTTCGGGTCATCAACGGTGTTAGTTTCACTCGTTAAGAGACACTTGTCATAATATTTTTTAAAATTTATTATTATTATATTTATAAAAAATCATAATTTCTCCTAAATTATAAAATAGCTCCCAAATTCCCAAATTCAAACCTTAACCCCCATCGCCGCCCATTATGGCTACGACCTCTAATATAGTCCTTGTAATCCTCTTAGTCATACATCGTCGTAATTACCACCGATTGGCTGTCAAAATCGCGTGGGATCGCGATTTTTAACCTAGGGTTCGTGGTGTATAAAACGTCGATTCATTGTCAATCGGTCACAATTTCATAAGGGTTTTGGTCACCGGAGAGGAGATGTCGGGTGGAGCTTCGTTGACGGTAAAAGGCAACATGCAGCCTAGGTTTAGGGGTTGAAATGGAATTTTTCAAAGTTTTGGGTTTATCTCAAAATTTATGTTTTATTTTTAAATATATATATATATATAATTTTATTTTTTTTAATTTTAAATAAAATTTTTAAATTTACCTTATGACATATGTCACTTAATAGAAAAACTAATACTATTGACGAATCGGACACATAAATGAATAATATTTATAACATTAAAAAAATAATTTAAACATCTAATTAAAAAAATGGTATAATTTAAAAACTTATTTTAGTATTATGCCTATCATGTAAAATTTTAAATTGGATAATAGTTGAAATTTTCATGATTATCGAATCTGTATTTTCTTTATGAATTTATCTTTATTTTTTCCTATAAAAGGAATGTTTAGTTCTCTTTTTACACGTCACAATTATCTGTTTCATTTTTCTCTTTTTACAAGTCACAATTATCTGTTTCATTTGAGTTTTTTTGGGTTCGTATATAAAATCTAAGGAGAAAATAACCTCAGTGATCAAAAATGCCTTATAATATATGATTGTAATCAATTTTTTTGGATTTACCAAAATGACAAACTAAATCGTAATGCGATCGATAATTCGCAATGCGATCTTCGGTATCGCAAATCAGTTTCCAGATTCACAACGCGAACTTCGACTATTGCATTGCGATTTACATATTCGCATTGCGATAGTCCAAGTTCGCGTTGCAATTTATTCCAAGTTCGTTGCGATAGTAGAAGTTCGCGTTGCGATTCATTCCAAATTCGTTGCACTAGTCGAAGTTCGCGTTGCGATTTATTCCAAATTCGCGTTGCGATAGTCCAAAATCGCAACGACGGTATTGCATTTGTTTCTTAAGAATTTTCTCTAAAAAGATAGTATTTGTGCGGACGTGTTGAAGACACGTATTACCACGACCACGACCCCGACCCGACCCGACCCGACCCAAGGCGAGACGGACGGCGGCGCGCGAGAGTCTCCCTTGTTCTCTATCACTCAACAAAGAAGTGGGAAAGCCAAGCCTTAAATATCATTCCCAATAGTGTTTCCAATACTATGTGGGATTGAGCATTACCAACACTTGTTTCCAATACAATGTGATTATTCAGGAAACAATTAACAATCATGCACCTTAAAACAACTGAATCAGCAACCAATTGCATTAGTATTATACGATTAAATATGTCATAATTAAATGTCAATCTACAATCAATCACTATTATTGCAATTTTAAGCAAAATATTCAAAAATAATATCACTATTTAAGGCTCAATCCCACATAGTAATGGGAACAAGTGTTGGTAATGCTCAATCCCACATAGTATTGGAAACACTATTGGGAATGGTATTTAAGGCTTGGCTTTCCCATTTCCTTGTTGAGTGATAGAGAACAAGGGGGACTCTCGCGCGCCGCCGCCGCCGCCGTTCGTCTCATCTCGGGTCGGGTCTGGTCGTGGTCGTGGTCATACGTGTCTTCGACACGTCCGTGAGAATACTATCTTTTTAGAGAAAATTCTTAAGAAACAAATGCAATACCACCAGTCGTTGCGATAGTCGAAGTTCGCGTTGTGAATCTAGAAACTGATTTGCGATACCGGAGATCGCGTTGCGAATTATCGATCGCATTGCGATTTAGTTGGTCATTTTGACAAATCCAAAAAAAATTGGTTAAAATTATATATTATAAGGTATTTTTTACCACTGAGGTTATTTTCTCAAATCTAAAACATTGTACTAATTTTAAGAGTAACTAAAATTATACAAATTCAAATAAAATTATTTTTATACGGTACAATAATTTTATTCTAAATTTTTATTTGTTATAGTTATTTACTTTTTAATTCTAATAATTTTGTTTTATAGTATTACTTTTATTAATATATAGAGGCAACTGAATCCTCAATGATTGCATCTAAGATGCTTTCAATTCTGTGAACCATCCATAACTTTCAATGAAATACTAGACACAAATTTCATTACAAAAATAATATTTTTAATCATCGCGATCTAATTAATTATTTAACGAACTATATTTTAAAAAGGAAAAATCAGAAGAGTTAGTGATCTTAACAAAACAACTCAATTGAAGTATTACTCGTTGGAAAAAGCTTGAAATTAAATTATGAAATTGGAGGATTTTCATTTAAAGAGAATCATTAAATAGAACTACCCTAATAAAGCGACGCCACCACTTTTTTCAGGCAGGAGTAGGACCCCTCGATTTAGAACAGAGGTGCGCCCCACTTAGCCAGGCGAGGTTCATTAAATAGAATGCCGAGTCGAGCTCAAAGCCTACCGCCAAAGTGGTGGGACTCTTTGCATGCGCTGCTGGCTCAAAAAGAGTCTGGCTTTCATATACGTGTTTTTAAAGTGGAGCAGCCTCTTGATTACAACAGCTTTACCACCACACACATACAGATCCATAAATTTAAGAATAGATGTTTAAAATATTATTTTTTTTAAAAAAAAATAATATGTATACAAAAATTATAATTTTTTTACTTAACATATTAAATTAAATTTAATCATTTTTTTAAGATAATGAGATGTAATTGGATACTATGGATACTTAGTGCATCCGCCATCATATTGCCATCATGATTAGGGTTGAGGTTGATGTTGTGATTGTGAGAGAAAAATTAAAAATGAACATGAGATTCGAATTTAATAGATTTTCATTCGATATGATTTTATAAGAATATTTTTTAATTTGAAATCAAATCAATTTCAGGAAAAAAAATTGTAATCTAACTTTATATGAAAAATTAATATATGTAATCTTTATATATTTAGAAATAATTAAAATAATATTATCATCTCTATATTTTTTAATTAAATTTCTATTTTACCTAATAAAAATAAAAATATATATCTCATGTTAAATATAAATGTGAGTTTTTACCCTAAAAATTAGATCATAGTTCAATTTAGGATACTTATATTAAATTTGAATAGACCAAAAACTCAAATTATTATTATTATTATTTTTTGTTAGGAACCCACATTCTTGGTTAGGGATGGGCATGAGACCTAAATCCGATTGGTTCCGAACCGACCCGATCGTGTTGATTTTTTTTAAATAAAGTTCGAATCAAGTCCAATTTTTTAAAGGTTATGTTCAGATCGGATTGAGTTCGAGTTTAGGGTGAAAAATATCCGACCCGATCTTACTCTAAAAAAGTATAATTTTACCTTATATGTGTAGGGATAATTATAATAATACCCTTCTAAGTATTATTTTTTTTCTAATTAAATATCTATTTTTATTGAATAAAATAAATTTTTTTATTATTATTTTGGATCGGATTAAATTCATATATTATCTCAAAAATTGAATTGGATTCAAATTGGATAAAGAGTATATATTTTTCGAATTGAGTGGAAGATGTATAATATTAAGATCGAATTAAGTTGACCGAAACTCGATCCAAACCCACCCATCACTAAGTCTTGGTGTATTCTAAAAGCAAGTTTTCTCCATCAGGCTGCTTTTGATTCACTTGTCTTCTCGTTAAAATAGCTTTGTTTTTATTGTAAAGAGCAATGTTGAATTGGGGTCTTCTCATAGGCCCTACTTAAGGACAATGAAAGGGAATTATTACCCAATTTATAAGGTGCAATGGAGCTTTCTTCAATTTTGTTGGCTAACTAATTCATCAATTGCCATTTTCTCTTCCACAAATTCTCATGGATAATAAAGACAATCGCTTGCAAGTTTTTGATTGGTTAATTCTCTTATCAAATCATGTAGCATTGATAGTTCTATAATGTGTAACGTTCTAAAACTTATTGGTACATCAAATGTTTACTTATAATGTAATGGAATCTCATATTCAACTCATAAAGATTTATTTTTATTTACATTCATCAAGTTTAAATCCGAGATTAGATATCAACTGATACAATTTCTCCACTAATCAACACTTTAAAACACGATTTTAATATATTATATTTTCTACAAAATATAAGTTATTATCAAATTTAAACTTTTAATTTTTGAGATATCGACAAAGAAATTTAATTATCTACTACAACTAATTATTATCATCAATAAAATTGATGTAGAACTCAAGGTACCCATCAAACATTAAATCCTATGTTTCTTCATATTAACCCACCTTCCTATGAAAGCAAAGTGCATTTCTAGATAACTTAATATATAATACAAATAATAGAAACCACACCCAACCAACCTACGTTAAGTTATATAAATATATAATGTTATCTTATGATAGGAATCTGCCTTTGCAAGCAATTGGAAAAATATATAGAATATCATTTATATAAATACAGTCACCCTTCACATCAATCAATACTTATTATTTTAAAATTTAGATAAAAAAATCAATAATTATATACTTGTATACAAAAGAGGTCAAAATCCTATATCATAGTTCCAATTACTTGAATTCATACTATAAACCCATTGCATATTAAGTTTTAAAGCGATTACATTAAATAAATGAATTAAAATCCGAATTCAAATGATTAGAAGACTTTTAAGATCTCTCAATTTCGATAATAAGTAAATTGTACATCCTCAAAATAAAATAGAGCAATCAAGTCCTTCTCAAGTTTGAAGGTGAGCAGCTGAGGATAATAGACAATGAGATTCACTTTTCCATTCATTTATCCTACTTTTAATTAATATAATAATAATTTTAATTTTTATTATTTAATTATCTATTTGATGTTTTAACAATAATTACTAAGCAAAATTAAATATTAATTTTTATTAATGATTTTATATCATCAATTTAACAGGAACGACAATAGAATACTTATTTTACTAAAAATTAATAACGTTAATAATTAATTTATTATGTTTGAAAATTTAATAAAATATTAAAAACTTATTCAAGTATAAATGATCATGAATGTTATCTCTTTTAATGATTCTAATTAAATTATCATTTTCTTAGGAGTTTCCCGGTCAAAAAAAGTCGTGCGCTTTTGGATAATACTACATTATTAGCATTTGCCCGTGACATACTGGCAGTGGAATTTCAAAAGAAAATTAGAGCAGCATATGCCATAAAATAAATAAAAAAACATTATTTAATTTGTTCAATCAAATACCCTCTAATATTCTAATACTCCAATTGAATTTTCAATAATATTTTATTATAAAAATGTATTTTAATATAAAAATTAATTACCTATTAATCTAAATGTATAAGATATTAAATCATTTAAATAATATATAATATTCAAACTTTAATATTATAAATGAAATATATGTTTTAAATAAATTATTTCAGAATAGATCTTTTCATTACCTAAATTTGGATTTATCATTTAATTTTTATAGGTTATACCAATATGTACATATATATATATATATATATATCCACTAGCTCTGCTACGAACCTACCAAGCAGCCCTACAGTTGCTTTTTTCCTCTCTCCATTTTACAGTGCCCCTCAGACAGTGTCAGTTGCCTCTCCCACTAATTATATAAACTCTGGGTCTACAACAAAAAATTGTCGTTTCATATCCAAGCTTTTGCTAAAATTCCCAGATGGGTTTCTGCTACCAAAGCATTCTGCATTTCGTTTTCACGGTTTCCCTCGTGTTCTTTCGCCGAGCAAACGCGAGCCAACAACAGTACTACAATGAGAGTGCATTAATGAGAGGTAGAAACCAAGCCAGAGGATGCAATCTGTTCCAAGGGAAATGGGTTTTCGATCCTTCGTACCCGTTCTACGATTCCTCCAAATGTCCCTTCATAGATCCCGAATTCGATTGCCTTAAATACGGCAGACCTGATAAGCAGTTTCTTAAATACGCCTGGAAACCTGATGCTTGTAGTTTGCCGAGGTAAACGACTAATTGATTGCACTGTTTGAGCTGTGGATTTCGATCTCACATTGGGGTTTTTCTGTTTGTTTGTAGGTTTAATGGAGTGAATTTTCTGGGAAAATGGAGGGGAAAGAAAATCATGTTCGTGGGTGACTCACTGAGTTTGAACATGTGGGAATCATTGGCGTGTATGATCCATGCGTCGGTGCCTACTGCAAAGACGACAATTGTCAGAAAGGACCCTTTGTCTTTTGTTATTTTTGTGGTGAGTTATTTCCTTTTTAGTTAATTTTTTTCATTTTTTTAATATGAGATTATTTCATGAAATTCGTGCTTAATTTACCATTATTTAATAATTAATTTCGAAATTAAACTCAAGATACGATATCATCTACTTGGATAGATAAATTCACACACATGTTCAAACTTAAATTACTAAGAAACATATCATTCTCTGTCACTGAAATAACTTCTTAGATTTTATTCGTATTGGAAAATATTACATATATTAAACTTTTTTTTCTTAAAGTTAATTACATGCCATGTAATTAGATTAATCCTAGATTTTAGGATTTCGAAATACATAATTATTGTAATTTTGAACATGCCATATTTTATAACTGAATTTACACTTTTTTTTTTTGAAATCATGAATTTACACATTCAGGGGAGGAGGATAAGGGAGATTTGACACTCTCCAAAGAATTTAATTAGACTCTTAAAGTTTTGAATTTAATTAAATATTCAAAATAATTTAAAGTCTTTAAATTCTTTTTAAAAATATTAATTACTCTCATATTTAAAAAAAATCATTAGGTCCTTTAAAATTATTGAAAACTTTAATTAACCCCAAATTATACACCAAACAAATAAAAGAATTGTTGTTATTCCTTGAAGTCTCGGGTTTGAATACCATAAATGTAAGAAGTATGATCACTCAAAGTCAAATGGTTGAGAATTATCTTCGAACATACTACTTTGTATTTGTCCTAAGATTAATAAAAAAAAGTACACATGAATTTTGATTTGATGTTATATTTACTTAATAGTAAGGGAAGGATGTTTCTATATATAGAGTGGGCAAAGCTTTGGCATCCATTTATTTCTTCATTTATATGCTAGTCTTCAAAGCTAGGAGCAAAAACAACTGCGAAAACAGTGTATTCTACTTTCTTGTTTTTCATTTCTTTATAAGTGGAGCAATGCTGAAGTTGAAGCTTATTATTGTCGGTTCAGATTGATTATTGTGTGTACATATAATATAATATTTACAATATTTAGAATTTATTAAGTGATCTCGATGATTTATTTTCTTTTGGTGTTATGAGATTTAAACAATTATGTTTGTAAGGTCTAAGTTCCTTATTAATAATTAAAAAATATTATAAACAAATATCTTGTAATCCCATTATATAATTAAAAGAACCATCTATAAAATCATGCAGGTTCAAATTTTAAAATAGGGCAAATAATACTAATGGTCATTGGATTTTAGGGTCTTTATACTTTGGTCATCACACCTTTAAAACTTATAGAGTTACTAAACTTTTATTATGCATCCATTTCATCATAGCTATTAACGACAACTGATGTAGCTTTAGTGAGATAATATTATATCATTGTGGTTAACGAAAATGATTAAAATAAAAATTTATTGATTTTAATATAAATTTTAAAATTCAATGATTAAAGTACAAAGGTCTTATGTAAATTATATATATTTTGTGTAAATTGAACAAACATATTTGGTCTGTTTATGAGCTGTTCAGTTTTGTTTTTCTCATATTTCCTTAAATCATAGATTCTATATCCATTAGGAGTATTTCCTTCATTTCTATAGAATTTTCCTTTTCCTTCGATCTAGATAAGATTAAGATTAGATTTAAAATTTATCTAAAAATACATCTTATGTAAAAAATTTAATATATTCATATTAATTCTTTATGTGTCATGTTTATTAATTATTTGTGACACGTGGGGGAATAAATGTGAGAAAATCAAAGCTTGAATGCTTTGCATGATGGGTGGTTCCTTTAAAGGACCACTGACATACAACTGTTTTTAAAGGACCCATCGGTGCCAACTTGTATTATTATTATTATTATTATTATTATTATTATTTTTGGATAAATAATTTATATTCCATCCAAGAAAGCAGCCAAGCTGTTACAACCAACAAAGAAACCTCAAGGTAGGCCTCAGTTCAAGTATAAATGCATGTTAACATCATCAATCCTAGGACAACCAAATCTACACAACTTGACTCTAACAGTCTATTTTATGCTATTTACAACTACATCAACCGAGCGAGACGAGCCTCGAAAGAGTCTATGATTATGCTTTTCCCAAACAGAATACATCAGACCAGTCCACACAAGCTTCATGATACGAACTCTGAGAGATTTGCCCTTCAAATTTACAATCAACCAATTGAAAATATCATCCCAATTGCTTAGATCATAACAAACATCACAAGAGATTAGAATAACACCCCACACTTCTTTTGCAAAAGGGCATTCAACAAAAAGGTGATCTCGAGATTCAATGTCAGAGCCACACAAACCACACACATTATCAATAGCCAAGCCAAACCGAACAAGCCTATCTTTAGTAGGCAATCTGTCGAGAATGACCATCTACAAGATAAGAGAGAATTTGGGGATGTGAGCAGGGAACCAGATCAGTCTGTGCCAGTTTACCTTCGCCCTGTAATCCCGGATATTGTCCCAAATCCATTTACCTTTAATAAGCCTCCAGTTGGTGCAAGGGAGGAATAAACGTCTAGCCTCCTCACGCATACTCAGAAGCTTGCTCAAGACCCAACTTAAGTGAGCTTTACACTCAACATCCCAACAGCTAACTGTCTTGAGACAATATTCATTGATTCAGGCAATCCACAGAGAGCCTTCATTAGCCAAAATGTTCTTTATAAGGAGCAAACAACAAGCTTTATTCCACCCACAAGGCTTCGAAGGCCCAAACCACCCTCAGACTTCAAGGAGTTGATCTGGCTCCATCCCACACGAGCTCCTTTTGCTGATGAATAACTACCTTTCCAGAAAAAACGCATACAAAGGCATTCAATATCCCTAATAATTCCCTTGGGCAGGACCAACTGCCTACTCCAATAGTTAAAAATGATGAATAAAATAGATTTAATCAATTGGAGCCTACCACCATAACTCAGGTTCTTGTTTGACCAAATCCTGAACTTGTCATTTATCTTGGTCAAAAGTGTTTCACAGTCTTTGCCTGTGAGCTTGCGGGTCACCAGAGGCACCCCAAGATACCTCACAGGAAGCTATCCCACCCTGAACCCAGTAGTCAGTCTGATGTGCTCCAAGTCAGACACATTCAAACCACAAGCATATAATTCTATCTTTTGAGCATTCAGTTTAAGGCTCAATAGCTCATAGAACTTATCTAAAGTGAATTGCACTCCCAACATAGCACCCAAAGAGCCATGACAAAAAAAGCTCATAGAACTTATCTAAAGTGAATTGCACTCCCAACATAGCACCCAAAGAGCCATGACAAAAAAACCAACAGATCATCCGCAAAGCATAGGTGAGTGAGAGAAATTCTTCTGCACTTAGGGTGGAACTTAAAAACACCATGCATAGCAGCATCATCCAGAAGAGAGGACAGGACATTCATGGCTATAACAAATAGGTAAGGAGATAAATGATCTCCTTGCCTAATCCCCCTAGCTCCTTTAAAATACCCCACCAAGCTACCATTTAGAGAAAGAGATAACATAGGTGTAGTAATACAAGCCTTAATCCAATTACAGAAAGTACAAGGGAGACCCATAACAGCAAGAACATTCAACAAGAAATCCCAACTAACAGAGTCAAAAGCCTTCTGTAAATCAACTTTGACTGCACATCTAGGAGAAAGGCTCTTTCTAGAATAGCCTTTAACAATTTCTTGAGCTAGCAAGTTGTTATCACTAATGTTCCTGCCCTTGACAAAGGCTGACTGACTAAGTGATATCATGCTAGGAAAGAAAGGAGCAAGTCTGTTGACTAGAATTCTTGTAATAGTCTTGTAAACTACTGAACAACAAGAAATATGCCTGAATTCTTTAGCTAGACATGCATTAATAGATTTAGGAACTAAAACAATGGCAGTGTGTAACACCCTCAACCCGTACCTGACCCAGATACGAGTCTGATGTGTCACATTGACTTTTCAAACTTTGAATCTTGACGAAAAATCAAGGAAATTTAAAACTTTCATTAACATAAAAGTGGTTCACTTACATGACATGATTAAAATAACCAAAATTGATCAGAGCATTCATAACTGACATTTTACTTGCATGCCAACATATTATACACGACAAAATACTTACTTTATCAGTTACTTTTGATCTGATCTTCTAGCAGTGCTGCTATTTCTGTTCTTTTCGATTCTTGGTACCTACGTGTAAATCACTTACACGCTAAATCATAGACTTAATGAGGCATAACATAAATAAATGTAAACACATGTATAACAATGAATTTATGAACATACATCCTTACCATTGATCATGACATCTTAACTTGCATATATTTATTATACTATAATATATATGATGATAGCATGCACATATAAGACATCTATTTTTATGCTAATTTCATTTTAATTTATCTTTGGATTGCCCATGTACATTATTGAGAACAAAGGTATATGAGTACATAGAGGTTGTGCACTATGCTGTCACCACAGCTCGTATAATTCCCTCAAGGGGCACTGAATATTTGTCCCGAAAGACCACTATGTCTCGAAGGACCACTGATTGTTTCGAAGAACCACTATATCCCGAAGGACCACTCCTTAAGAACCATATACATAATACAATGGACCAAATAAGTGTACCAAAGTACCACATATATGTTCCACAAAATTACATATATGTCCCGAAAGATCACGTAGAACCCTCGACTCTTGGCATGCCAATTATACCTACAGCTTTCATATTAACTTACATGGGCTTAAATATGAATACATTTATCATTTTCATATCTTTTCATCACTTTTCATATAAACATGTATTTCACTCCATATACACACGTAATCACTTTCATTATTTCACATACTTGGATTGATCCTATGACAATTTCATTCTTTCATATAATATCATATTAAAGCATAAATGAATTGCATGAAATCACTGTATCCAATATATATGTGGATGCATGTACATGAATATGTAATCAGAAATTCAACTATAAGAGATAGACTTATCGCAAGTCTTATCTCCATACAATACTATCCAGTATGGGCACTCACCTTAGTCTTGCTTTGACTCAATTCTAATTCCTCGATTTTTCTGGAACGAGATTACGTTCTTAATCTACATAGTAATATATTGATACATATCAGTATACTAATTGATATATTCTAAAATATCACTCCTTAGGCTAAAAAGAAAGCTATTTTTATCTTTCAATGAAGGTGTGCATCGATGCACTACACCATGTATCAATGCATCCCTTGACGGGTGCATCGATGCACTATCTATGCATCGGTGCATAAATCCCATTCGATGTTTGTATTTTAAGTAGGTGCATCGATGCACCCTTATGCACCGATGCATTCTTCATGCATCGATGCACTCCTTATGCATCGATGCACTAATTGCATTTGATGTTCATTTATTTGATAGTACATCGATACACATTGAATGTGCGTCGATGCATACAACCCAAAATATATATTTTAAGCCCGAAAATTATCAATTCTTCACTTAATTCTTCTATTTAAACCCCTATCATGTCATTAAACCCAACCATCATTACTTAAACCCAACCATCATTACTTAAACCAACTTATATCCATGAAAATCATCTTTAACCTCAAAATCCTATCCCTCATATATAATTCAAGAATCATACTCAAATTTCAATATGTTCTAAATACAATTCTAACACTTCATATTCCTTAATTAGCACGATGACAAGTCAAATTTATCTTCAAATTCAACTTATCAACTCTTTTCCATAAATTCATTTGAAAACCCATTTTCTTTACTCTCTTATAACTTCTTCATCTTGTTGCTTTAAAATAAATTAAGCTTTCCATAAGCTTAATTAGCATCTAAGGATAGACTTAAATTTCAGCAAACCATTAGCTTATAAGAAATCTCACCTTTGTTTTGCCTTCTTCACGTGTGGAGAAAGAAAAGAACTCTGGAACCTTGTTTTTCTTTCTTCTCTTCCACGTGGAGCTTAAGCTAATATATATCTTCTTTAATTATTTGTCCTTGAAAAAGATCATTCTATCCTTTTATTCTTTCTTCTTTGCAATTTAAACCTATACCAAATTACAATACTATTCAATTATTCTGCTTTAGTCATCAAATTCTGAATTTTTACAATTTAGTCACTAACCCGGTATTGAGGCTGTTACATAGTGGCATTGAATGCAGGCAACAAACAGGAGGTCTGGAAAAAATACCTCACAGCAGAAGTGAAATCAGCACCTACAATGTCCCAGGCAGCCTTGAAAAACCCAGAGGTGTACCCATCAGGACATGGGCTCTTGTCCTTACCTTGCTTAAACATGGCCTCCTTAACCTCCATGTCACTCACTTCACTAGTTAATGAACCAGCAGCTCCTTCTGGCAGGGAGAAGTTTAACATGTCTTTCAGATCTTCAATAGATCTGCTCTTAACAAGAGGATCCTCAACTCCAATCAGATTAGTGAAAAAACTCACTAATTCAACAACCATGCCCTCAAAAGTGTCATAAAATTGACCATCTTCACCTCTAATTACTCTGATGGTATTCATTTTCTTTTTGGATTCAACCCTCTGATGAAAGAATTTCGTGTTGAGATCTCCCTCATTCAACCAATGTATCTTAGCCTTCTGTCTATAGAACTCAGACTCATCTACTTCCAAGTTAACAAGCTCATCATAAACTCTTTTCTCCTCATCAACTCTTCTATGCTCAACATGAGTCAGATTAAAAATCTGAATTTGCTCCAGCTCAGATCTTTTACCCTTCACTCTACCAGAGATATAAAAAAAAACTCCTTATTGAGCTCTTTTAAGAGAGGCTTAAGCCTTCTCATTTTACTGAACATAACTTGCATGGAAGAACCTACACAAAAGAATCAGGGTAATCCAGCAACCACTGAGGATTAACCAAAATCCTATCTAGTTTCCGAGCTAAAAAAGAACCCTCATGCCTATTTGACCATTTGAGGAAATGATGGTCCATCAGAGCAAGCTCCTCCAAACAGTCCTGGAACTCCTTCATGTTAGAGGAATTATGAACTCCATAACCTCAAAGTTTGAACTTTCCTTAGCTCTGGCAATTATGTTGAAGTCCCCACCAATCACCCAAGAAGAGGAACCAATAACATTCTCAACAGTCCTCAAATGCTCCCAAAGACCTCTTCTAGTACCACCACTATTGCTTCCATAAACAACAGTAATAACAGTTTGAAGTTCATCAATAGTGCCAATAATGAAAATGGCATGATCACATCTTCTCAACATAGAAAAAAGACAGATACTTCTTCCAAATAATACATAATCTGCCTCCATCTACACAATCATAATTTTCAACCAAATTCCAATCAGCAGAAAAAACAATGAAGAATTTGGCATAATTTTCCCTTCTAATCTTAGACTCCATAAGACAAATAACATCAACTCCACAAGAATCCAGCCTCTTAAGCACTTTCACCTGCTTTAAGGGGTTATTAATTCCCCTAACATTCCAAAAACTCACTAGCATTATCAAGAGGAGGAAGGAACATCACAACCAGTACCCAAAGGCACCACATTGCTCTTTACTTTATCCAAATGATCCCTCTTCTTTGCCTTGATCTCATTAAGCAACAAGGCTACACCAATGGAAGCAGCACTGGTCTTCCTGGGACCATCCACCAAGTTATCTACCTTACTGGAGGATCCAACATTCTCTTTTTTTTCTTTCCCCTAGTCTTGACAACTCCCTCAACCCCCCAAGTTACTAACAAGCCCACTAGAGTCACCATTATGATCATTCAAAACAGAAGACTTGTCAACAGTAACAAGTTGTAAAGGACCAGACCCTAGACCAGCAGGATGGGTGACCTCACTAGCTTCCTGAGATTATAGACAGATGATTCCATGGAAATTCTAACCTAGAGATCTGAGTGTTTAATCCCCCCTAATGAGCTACAAGGCAAAGAATCAGAACCATGATCAACAGAAGTAATCTTCTCAAAAGCAGCTTCAGCAGTAGTAATCATAGGTTCCTTACTACCAGACTCACCAGAATGGCTACCTTCTTTCTTTCTCCAGACTTAAACTTCCTTAGGCTTAATAGAGGGTTTTCTAACCTTAGTACACGAGTTAACATGATGCCCAAACACTTAACACGTAGCACATGATTGAGGCATCCATGGCACATGCACTTTTATTTCCACAAACGACCCATCCTTAAGCATTACATGAATAACATCAGGGAGAATACTGCCAACTTCAATCTCAACACAAAGTTTAGCAAATTCCAGCCTCTCACGAGATGCAGTGATGAAATCCATAAAAAGAGGATTACCTAGTGTACTAGCTATGTAACTAAGTCCCTTTTTAGTGTAGAGCTCAAGCAAGATATTATAAAGTTGAACCCAAATAGGCATTAACGCTAGGTCAAAATTGAGTCTCTGTAATCCAGGCTCCCACATTCTCAGAACCAGAGGCTTATTCTGGACATGCCAAGGACCGTTTTCGAGCACCCAGTCCCTCAGATTAACATCCAAAAACGAAAACACATAGAGGTTAGGACCAGTTAAACTAACCTTCACCTGCAAAAAATTCCCCCAAATCGAATCAATGATACGCTGCAATGAAGCAAATCTTGGAGCCACGCCGATGAACTGACCCACTAGGGCATGATTCAAATCTGCAATGCCTTCCTCGATTACCTCAAGTGGTGGCTTAACCGCAACAACTCCGTCCTGAATCTCAGGGGGAGGAAAAGTCGAGCGACTGATTCTTCGATCCCACAAATAACTTCCTCCAATCAAGACTCAAACTCATCGAATCCATACAAATGCAACAAGAATCAACTACGAAAATCCCTACTAACAAAAACACAGAAGAAATCAGAAGCAAAGAAGAGAAACCGAGGACCCATTAGTCCAGCTAACGTGCGCCCAGAGAAACTTCATTTGCGTGACTTTCCCATGAGAAACATCCAAAATTAGAAGTAAATTTATTATTATTATTATTAGTAGTAGTAGTAGTAGTAGTAGTATTATCATTATCATCATTTCAAGCAACTAATTGAACAACATTAATTAGTAATTTATTTGTTTAATAAATGACATCAATGATTATGTGATGTATTCAAATTTGACACTTTAAGTTTAAAATTTATTATGAACGATTAAACCCTCATTGTCTTTCTATGCACATCTATGATTCTTTTCCGGTGATTTTCTAGGAAAATATATTTATTGATTAGACTCTTCTTCTTATGATTAAAAAAGAAAAGGATTGTTAGTAGTGGTCCGAGATTTAAGCAGCAACGTTTATAGAGTTTGTTTATAAATATTCAATGTCAATTGATTAAGAGAATTTTAAACAAATACTATATTGTAATCCCCACATATTAATAAATAAAATTTAAAATTTATTATATATAAGTTTTATTATACACGAGTTTTGTTTATTTAAATATATTTTAACTATGAATAGGATGTTATGTTTGTAGGGTTATGGAGTAACCCTGTATTTCTATCGAACACCATACTTGGTGGATATAGTGAGAGAGAGGGTTGGTGCAGTGCTTCACCTGAACTCCATCAATGGCGGCAATGCATGGAGAGGGATGGACGTACTGGTTTTCAACAGTTGGCATTGGTGGACTCACCAGGGAAAATCCCAAGCGTAGGATTCTTTCTTTTATTCTTGGCTTATTTCAAAATTATTTTACGTACTTAAATGAAAAGTATGAATACTTTTAAGTATTTATTTTTGAATTAGCCCTCTATTTTAAATTATAAATTACTTTTTATTAAAATAAACAAAAAAAATGTTTTGCAGATGGGATTACATAAGAGACGGGCGTGGATTGTACAAAGATATGAACCGGCTTCAGGCGTACTACAAAGGGCTTGCAACTTGGGCTAACTGGGTTGACACCAATGTTGATCCTACCAAGACCAGAGTCTTCTTCCAAGGCATTTCTCCCACCCACTACGAGTGAGTTCCATAATATCCTTTTTATATTACTTTCTTTAAATCTTCCCCATAAACCATAACTCCTTTATCTATTAAAAAAAACAGGGGCAGGGAATGGAACCGACCGAAAAGGAGCTGCAATGGAGAATTACAGCCACTGTCAGGGTCAAAGTACCCAGCAGGAGCACCACCAGCCGCTGCAATTCTGAACAAAATCCTGGGGAACATGAAGAAACCAGTGTACCTGCTCGACATCACAACACTGTCTCAACTCAGAAAAGACGCCCATCCTTCCACTTACAACGGGCAACATTCCGGCAACGATTGCAGCCATTGGTGCCTCCCCGGTTTACCTGATTCATGGAACCAGCTCTTATATGCAGCTCTTGTTATGTGACAAAAATGGTCCACTCCGGACATTCAATGATTATTTTATTTTCTTCCTATAATTTGTACGTTTAGGATTAAGGGCGACCAATGATCAAATGTAAAGTGATTAATTCTTTAAACCCAAAAATAAACTGTTCAAATTTGGGTTGTAACACTCTCTCACGGTGTTTGGATGCGTGATTGCTCTATTATCATGCAACAAGTACCAACTTAGAAACCTATACGAAATATGTCAAGGATCATCTATTCCAATAGACGTTATGGTTTTGTCTCTCCAATACACATGGAACAAGTATGAATTATATATATCGATTGAGTTATAATTTGATTAACATTATAATTATTTAGTAATTGTATATCATATCTTTCACAGTTCTTTGACGAAAATTTATTAATAATATTATTGATTGAACTTCAATTTTCAAATCACATGAGTATGTCGAAGTTGATTCGAGAAAGCCCTCACCGAGGGTGTCAAGGAGTTGAGCTTTTCACCGAAAATTACGATTTTTGGTCCTAGAAGTTACTCTTCAATGATATGAAGTGCTATTTGAAACCATGGAAATGCTATGAGCTCACATCTTAGAGATGTACCCGGTAATGGCCACATCCCATGATTTCGGATCGAGCTCTAAAAAATCCGGCGCTTGCTCGTAAACTACCGATGCAACCCTAATCAAGACCGTGACGGTGAAAGCCCATATATCGTACTTAGCATTTTCTGCTTCATAATCAAACTAATGGACAATAATTTTTTTTCTCCTCTCCATTCTTTCTCCTCTGCCCTACAGTTTTCGTCCTGCATTCGGCACAAAATAAGTACGAAAATCATCGCAACGTAACATAACTCAATTCCTTCTACCGGTAATGAAAACAAAATTGTACCTTGAGATTTGAGAAACATTTTCAAAGGAGCATCAAATATCGCCTCCACTTCACCTGCATATGGAGACGGCTCGAATGCCTTCACATCAGATAATATACCCACCACGGGGACGACTGTCGTTCGATGTTGCGAAAGGAAAAAATCGGCTCTTGATTAAAGTTATATATACCTATAAACTGCAGTTACCAGTTCCATTTTCTTGCAAACTAAGATGCTTAAGGACCTCAATGAAGCAATCTCGACCCATGATACGACATGTTTGCTATATGATACGGTACAAAGAAAAACCGATAAGCAAGGCATGAGTATAGTTACGCAAATTTTGATTAATGAAGCTCTCAAATTAACCTTGTTGAGCAATGTTTCAAGGAAAGCAACAACATTGACAAGTGAAGGGTCCAAGCCAATTTCTTCTTTGGCCTCCCTCAAGGCAGTGTCTACATCATCAGCATCAGTTTCCCTCCGGGCAATGCGACTTCACCTAAAATCAAACACTTTGTAAACACCTTGAAAGAAGAAAAAAAGTTAAAATATGTTACAAGTCTTTATACTTTTCACATATTTTGAATTTAGCCCCTCAACTTTTATTTTTAAGCATTTAGTCCCTATATCTTTCAATTCAAAAATTCAAGTCCATTTGTCAACACTACTAAAATTCTATTATTAATTAACCCAAAAAAGGTAATCGTGTTAAAAATTGAACTTGAATTTTTTAATATGAAAAATAGAGTAGAGATGATCAAAATACTCGGATTTAATAGATTTCAACTTGACCGGACACTAAAAAGTTGATTTTACTCGAGATTGGAGACGGAATCAGAGAGAGTGAAACATCAACAAATATTAGGGCGGAAGAGAAGGCGGAAGCCTTATTTTCGAGTTGAGATCAGGACGATAAAAAAAAATCAATCTACTCTACCCGTGCTGAGCCTGATTCCTAAAATATGACAAACTTCCTGAAAATAAAAGTAGAGACTGAATTCTAAATGCATGAAGAGAACACGGACATGGAGTATATTTAACCAACAAAATTATAACATACTTATGGTCTAATTTACGAATTTCATCCCTCGTGTTTGCAAAAATTGATGAAATCTAACAGTTGAACAACTGGATTAACTCAGCGGAGTGAGACGCCAGAGTCAAAGAACGTTTGGTGAGTATGACACGGAGATCACCTTTGTTTCCTTGGAAAATACAGACAAGAACTGAAGCTTTTCTGAGGTTTTGAGGATGTTGGTGATCCGATTTTGAATGGGAACATTGCGTTCCATTAGGAAGTGAGTCGGTAATTCGATGAACAAGAGTTGATCTATAAAGGCGAAGCCTTTGAGACAAGTTTTCAAGGACATCAGCTCCATGTTTCGGATTGTCGTAATTATCTGATATGTCTCTGTTTCTCACTTTTGTTGGGTCTTATTTATGGTTTTACAGCAGCCATGGCCGACCTTTCCATTATGAAAGGTGGTAAAGCTCTAATTTTGGTTTGGCATAATCACAAAAAAAGAATCTTTTTAATATTTGATCGAACAGCTATTTTTACTATATTTATTTTTAAAATATTTATATCCTAATATTTTATTTAATACTAAATGATCATTGATTAAATAAAAATTGTTAGCTAAAATAATCAATATTAATCGCAACAATAAATACATAAAATTTATGTACACATGACATGTGTCATATTACCAATTTAAATACATAAAATTTATCACATCAACAATAAAGTTAGTCAACAAATTATTTTGTGAAGATAACGATATTTGACTTCAAAATAAAAATGTTGCAAGCCGAAGTACTTCAAAAATACTTATCAAAGTGATTATTTCGTCAAAAAATAATTATCAAGTAAATCTATCAAATGCTACGATGAACAGAGACGGAGCTAAGATTTTAGTTTGGGGAAAGTATAATTAATAATAAAAAGTAGGGGACAAAATCAAAATAAATTAAAATGTCTAAATTGATAATTGTTCCTATTTTTTTAATGGTAAAAAAATTTGTGTTGTTGGGGGTTGGGTGACTGTGGGGTGGGGGGGGGGGAATGGCAGTGGCCCCGGGGCCTACATGGCTCCGTCATTATATCTTTTGATTTTAATCTTTCTGCTGCATTAAATTTTAAGATTTAATTCCTCAACGCTAATATAACATAATTTAGTCTCTTTACTTTTATAAGTTAATGTAACATAATTTAGTCCCTCTACTTTTATAATGTAATTAATTAGTTAAATTGACATGGTTGTTGTTAAAGTAATAAAGTGATTTTTCTCTCTTCAAAACTGCCCCAAGCATCTAACCAAAATTTAAAATTTATTGTTAATTAAATATAATTGATATATTTTACAATATTATAATTATGCCATTGTATAATAATAATAATAATAATTAAATTTATATAATCACTGTAACAACAGTAATTATTAAGTAAAGTTATAAGATCAACTACCAACTATAAATGAAATAAATTAAATTAGAAGAATCACCCTATAATGAGCTTTTGTTATATTCGATCCAAACTAATTGACCAAATACGAGTAGTTATACAAATTTTTTTATAGCCAACATTTTCTAGTTATTCTTCCATTTCTTAGAACGTCAAATAATATAAAGTAGGCAGGGAAAAACACAAAAGGGCCCATGAAGGTTTCCCTTGGACTCGTCTTTCTAAATATAGAATCATTCAACAAATGTAGAATAAAAACCGAACCTTGTGAATCACGGGACTTGATTTACCGCATAACAGTGTTTTTTTCGACAGCTTCAGGGAACTTGAACTTAGGGTTCTGTTCCAAGAAAGCTGGAGATCGCTGGTAAACTAACGATGCGGCTCTTATCAAAACCCCAGCGGTTAAACCCCAGATTACGTACTTCTTCTTCTTCTTGGTTTCGTATTCAAAGTGGTGAATCAAATACTTGTCTCCCATCCACTCCCTTTCTTCTTCCGTTCGGTTTTCGTCCTGAATTTATGTAATCCATGTGCGGTTTAAGAAAGGGTAAACGATTATACCAGCAGAAAGTGTTGAAAGAGACGAAGGAGACTAACCTTAATGAACATTTCCAGGGGAGCATCGAATACTTCATCGACTTCCGCAGCATTTGGAGTTGGCTTGAATGCGTTTTTATCGTAGAGTATGCCGATAACCGGAACTACTCTAAGGAGATGCTGCATGGAAAACCACACAACGTTAATTGCAGCTATGCTATACTTTTTAATATGATTTTAGCCAACCCAACTCTATTTTCCAAAGTATCCACATGTCGAATACACCTGTACCTGCACTCACCCTTGAGTCTGAGTAGAGTAGATTAAAACCGAAAAATTAAGACAGGTATGTCATATTTCTATAACACAAGCAATCAAAAATTTTAGGTCAATAAATTTGCTGCCACCTATGAACTAACAGTCTACCTCGCACTAACGAGAGTGTTCTTTGCTTTTACACTAAGGTTTGGGGATCAAGTTTTAAGACAGAGAAACCAAAAATACCTGCAACAAGAATTCGAGTTTGAGCTTCAACAAACATTACCATTGGTGCACAGAGGGGAAAATGTCATGATCACCGAAAAGAGAACACAAGAAAATCAAACTAATGTCGATCATCAAGAAGATCAATGGTCGATGAAGAAACTGAAAGAGCTTTGAAGAAATATTTCAATACCTTAGATAAAAATGGTTCGAGAAGAGTTACGATATTCACAAGCGAAGGGTCCAACCCAATCTCTTCTTGAGCCTCTCTAGTAGCGGTCTCAGCATCATCTCTGTCCCCCTCCTCTGCTTTCCCACCTGGCAATGAAACTTCACCTGCAACAGAGTACCCAAAAGAACAAGCAATTAAGTCCCAAAATATATCATCAACCACACCATGAAGCACACATTTGGTAGTCACATAGAAGGGTAAAAAAAAACTAAGAGAAACCAAAATCCCGATCTTATATTCATCAGCTCAAGTATTGATAAAGCTTGAGTTATGAACCTCAAGCAACCCAGTCAAGTGAAGTGAAACACCGGCACCTCCTTAGGATGTTAAAATATAATATACCCAATATCATATTCATTTTCCGTTCTATTAACGAAAACCATTTGATTGAAGTCCCACAATATATCATCGATCACCTTAAGGTCACATCAAGGAAAAATTGGAGAAATCGAAATCCCGATCTTAGTATTGCCTCAAGTTTTGATAACACTCGACCGGAATTGAAGCAACTAAGTGAAGTGAAGTGAACACCATCACATTCATAGTATTCCAAAATATAGCATACCCACCTTTATATTTACTAAAACCACTTGATTATAACTCAATCAAAGACGCAACTTCATCTAAATTTTGCCGCCTTAATAATCTTAGTTGATTTACAAGGCTGAAAAGAGAAAATCTAAAGCAGAGAACCTCACAATCACATATGCAGAAAACTCAAATGATTAAGGTTAGACTCCTTTGAAAGGATAACACTTTCTTCAATGGCTTGAATTTTTTTTCTAACCAAAATAGGTGTTACGAAATAGTGACAAGCAATTGATTGTATAAGTAAAAAGAAAACGAACATACATATGTCGAGTTTCACTATGATCGACGGCAAACTATAGGAGAGATGTGAAAAGCACATAAAAAACACACAAACAATAGGTACATGTGTATGACTGTAGGACACTAAACTCGAGAAACTCGGCATCCACCACATATCCCGATTGTTAATTCTATACCAAACGGATTGAAACACAGACTTTTTGGGGTCGGGACAAATGGAATTCTATCACAATTTCTAACATAAGGAGTACTGACCATGAACAACAACATTACTTCAACTCAAATCCAAAGTGAGCATTTAAACATAAAAATTTAAGCAAAACCCACCAATAAGTAATTCTATTTTCCTCAGAATTTTCCCATTAAACCAATCAAAAGCTCATTCCAAAATCCAGACTATTCAAGGAAACAAAAGGCAAACGTTTCATTAACCATCAAATATCAAATATTTAACAAAATCAAATACAGAATCAAACTGACCCGAATGAGTGGACATTCTTGAGGACCTTTTGGTCAATATGACACGCAAATCCCCATCATCACCTTCAAAGAGACAGATCAAAACAGCAGCTCTTTTGGGTCTAAATTTTTCAGGGTTTTGGGAAATTGGGGTCGCAGATTCTTGAAAACCCACTTGGGAAACAACTTTCCCCGTGGCTTCCTCGATGATTCGTTCCTCGTTGTCGGCTTCGTCCGAGGAAGAAGGTAGAGGCTTGTACTGACTCAGCTGCTGAGCTAAGGTTAAGAGCCTCTGTGATGAAAATGAAAGAGATGCGCTGTTCAAAGATCTTGATGAAGCCATCTTTAGTGAAGACGATTGTTGCAGAAACTATATAAGAAATCTATATACGTGCATAAATATATACACGGGTAAATAATATAAATCACCGAATAATATTTGAATGATCGTTTTTTTTCAATTAATTTTTAATAATTATAAAATTATCATTAAATTTAGACACATATGTTCAAAATATATCCAATGATTTTTGGCTCATAAGATTAAGGGTAAATTACACAAATGGTCCCTAATTAATGGGTGCTAATTTGTTAAATCGTCTTACTATTAAAAATTATAAAATAGACCTCTGACTATATGACGTTGATTTATTGTGTCACACGATTATTAAAAATTAAAAAATAATTACTCAACTATTCATATGTTCCAAACTCATAATTTTTTGTTGAAAATTAACGATTGATTGAGCTGAATGTTAATATGATGACGGAGATATGATAATTTTTTGAGATTATGAGATTATATTTTCTCATATCTCACTCAGCATGTTAAAATTCAGCTCGGAATACTATCAATTTTTTGAAAAGAAAATAACAAGTTTAAAACATTCTTTTAAAGATAAGTTTGAAACGTATGAATAATCGAGTGATCATATAACTTTTAATAGTCAACATACTAAAAAAACAACTATGTATAATCATAAAACCGTTTTATATCTTTTAATAATCGAAACACTCAACAAAACAATATTCTATAACCAAGATCATTCCTAATATTAATTAGGTAATTTTAAAATTGCAAGAGGTTGAATTATGTCAAAATTGTACATTTAACATTTTCGTATACACGTGTCATGGTCATATTAGTTTTTGTATCGTGACGGGTTTTACAGAATTTTATGTCAGTGACCCAACTCTATCCAATCCGACTTTAGAATCAATCGCTACAGAACTCAAATTACTGTTGTTATTTCAAAATGAATTTCCAGAACTCGGCACTGTCTTTATCGAACAAAACCTGTCCCGAAATGAGAGTAGGATTTTAACATGTTAATGACTTCTCTTTGTATTCTCGAGGTAAAAACAGATTCTTAAAATCCAAGTCGTCGCCGCGGTTTGTTTTGTGCATCAAACTACCGGTAGCCTCTTCCTCTTCCACGTCCTGTCCTCCCACCATATGATATACCTTCCATTCCAATGCTCTATCAAGTTGGTTTTGCATGCCACTGGCTCCACGACCCTTCTTCGTGGCCAAATTATTGGACCCGTTACCAGCGGCAGTTCGCTTCACCTGCACGACAATTATTCAACAAAAATCGATTCGCTTCAGAGGCACACTTGAGACATGGACTTTGATTTTATTCATAGTGTTTTCTACTTCTAGGTAAACCCAGAAATACATCAAGGGTAGAAAGAATTTAATGATAAGCAGAAAATAATGGTTAAAGAGTGAACAGGTGACTTACCCAGTTGCAGTTGCAGTTGCAGAAGGTTCTATAGTGTCTTTCCAAGAAAGGTTGACACTCTTATCTCCACTAAATGCAGGTGTTTTCGAATGTAAGGGCTGTATAGGTAAATAACAAAAGATAAGCAAATGAACGTTTACTGATGTGGCAAAGACTATATAATTCGATGAAAAATTTCAATCTTACCTTTGTCATAGCTAAGATGTTATTGCAGGTACTCAATCCAGTTGTGTTCTGCTTTTCTGTTTTCTGTATGCGGATAATGAAAGGTAAAGTCAAAAAGGAAACAGAAAACAAAGTAAAACATGAAGTTTTTAAGAATAAACTCACAATGTTATGCTTTGCTTCATTGGATTTAGCAGCTTCCATGACTTTATTGTGCTCGGTCATTCCCTGAGTTAATTTTTTAATCGTGGCCCTATTTAGGTCTTCAACGCTACTCAACCTGGACAGCACCACTCATCTAAAAGTTAGCACAAACAGTAAGCACGCAGCATTCATATAAAATCCCTGTTGCTCAACTTCTTTTAACTCGCATAGAAAGAATTTTGAAGATAAAAAGAAACAAATAATTTTCCTTCGAGTACAACTTATTAGGATGTTCTTCAGCAATAAACACAAACAAATTATGACATAAACAAAGCAAACTTTCGTCGACATGAAGTACGAAGAAAAGAGTCAGTTTTTTATTTTTACTTATAGCATAAAGGAGAAGAGATGCAAGGATACCTGTCAGTGAAGTCCTTATAATTCTCTGAGAAGTCTTCCCCCAACCTATCTGATGGTTGACCAGTCACAATCTTGTATCCACATTAGGAGCCTATTTAACAATAATAATCAAATAAGCTTAAAAAAATAATACAATTTTATGCAAAAAGACAGTAAGAAAGGTTTTTTTTCTTCTTTTTTTAAAGATTGGGGAAAAGAAAATACCTTGTGAGCTAAATGGTGAACTGAAAACAGTACGCATTCAACATAAGTTTGTCTCTTCACCAGTCTTCCTCCGAGGCATATACTTCTGAGGAAAAAAAGAAAAAAGACAAATAATATAAATATAAACCTACATGAGACAATTACTAACACGAAACTCCAAGAGTCCAATATCATAAGAAAATGTACGCTCATACCTTTAAAAGCTGAACAACAGAAGGCAGAACCTGGCGTGAATCCTGTGGTGTTGTGTAAGGCGAAATTTCTGCTAAAGCTTTAAGCAAATTCAGCTTTTGTTCCTCCGGAAGCTGTAAGGTTCGACTATTTCAGAATATATCCTTTACCAGAGTACTAGACCAAGTCTTCACAAAACAGAGTTCCACAAGAATTTCCAGCAAGAATTTCCCATTTTCAGGGAACATTCAGATATAAATGACCTAGAGACATCTCATAATATTTAAGAGGAATTTCTAGAACTTCCAAGGCATTAGTATTTCAACATTTTAGTTCAAACAGGATGCTTGTAGATCTTAAGGTATTAATAAACTTTATAAGAGCAATGATATTATTGTCCGTGAGTTTATTTCCAGTGAATTCTGATGCTTGTCAAATTCTAGCCAGAAGAATATAACATGCAACTTTTCATTAACACTTCCTCACCTTCCAGATTTCCAGCCAATAAGAAGGGAGTGGACTAAAATAAACATATTGTTGAGCCGGATCAATCCCGACTTCAGAAGCCAAATAAAGAAATTTAAGGACTTCAACTAGAAAATAGTTTTGTAAAATAAACAAATAAATGCTAAGTTCTAGAGCTCAGAGAAAACTTATGAGGTTCATTCACATCCATTACAACATGCATTTATGCAAATTTTTATAATCACATAAGCCTAGAAAATCAACAAGAAACACTTTTCATTCAGTATTCAAATAACAGTGCTAACAGCAAGGAAGAATGAACTAAGTGGATTTATGTATATATATGCAGTACTTAAATCGGGTTTTACAAGAAAATGACAACATAAACTTAGATTACACGTGTTGCAATAACCGAGGACACAAAATAGTATGTCATCTTATCAAAAACAGGTATGATGTGTTTGTTAAGGTAGTTGAGGAACTTGCTGCCAGATGCACCCCTCTGTAAAATAATTTAGAAGTGAACAGATATCCAGTAATATCAAATGTTGTCCTTACCACAAAAATTGGAAGAGCTATGAACAGGCATGACATCAACCTATCTATATGGTCTGCATCGGAGACCTGCATCCAAAAGCAATTCAAAGAGTTAAACAATTCACAACAATGACATGGTGAACTTCAAAGAGACGATGTTGACTAGTAGAACTATTTCAATATTTTATGGTACAACATCCCTTCTAATGAATATCCAAACTAATTTATGTAAATGAGGTAAAGTATTGTAGCTTTTGCGGCATTAAGAAAAGATCTAAATACAATATTCAGTTAACAAACACTCAAATCAAATTGTGCATCTAAATCAGCCAGACCTTCAATTATTCCAATAAGTTCCGTAAAGCGTTCAGGAGGAGCTCTGTCCCCAAATACGCTCAAACTTTTGAAGAAGTCTATAAATAGTCTGAATTCGGCTCCATTTACATCTCCTAAACTCTGCAATGGAATTGAATAAAATCAATTCTGCATCTTCCATTCCAAGCTCAAAATTGAAAGTTCACTTTGCTGGAGGGAAGAGGAGAGACCAGATTGATTATGAATGCTTTAGCAGCAAATCAAAATACATTACCTTTTTAATTAAATCAGTTATGTGCATTTCCATTTCATCTTGAGGTCTCAAGAGTTCATCTTTAAGAGGAAAAACCTACAAATATAGTTAATTCCCTCTCAATTATCATCACAGAACACAACACAAGAATAGCACCAACAGGCAAACGAAGAAGCAGTCTTCACCTTATCTCGTATAAAGCACAAAACCTTGTCACGAATAGTGTCATCTTGACTTGATCCCTCAATATTCCAAACGTGCTTGAATAGTGCTGTCAAGGACTCTGCATTCACAAGACAATATAATCAACACAGCTAAGAACTCAAACATGTAATACTACCCCTAACTTCTACTCAAATTTCACCATTACAAAAACCTTAAAAAGACCTCATGAGAATGCAACATTACCTTTCACATCCTGCCTTAATACAGACATCAGGGCATTATGAACAGCATCACGCTCCACAATCTCATCCATAAGTAACAAAGCAAAGGCAAGGCTAAATAAACAGTTCAAACATATTTTTTGAAATAGTAATAGTACAAACAAATTATTAAAAAGGAATTATAGTTTTACAAGCAGTAAGTAGTTGCCCTAAAATGTCAACTATTTTAGAAATGTACTCCTTATCCTTGCAAAATAAAGGGAGCCCTCGAATAGCTTGCACCCGAACCTTAAAGCTCAGATTTAATTAGACTGAAGAGAGATACTAAAATTCTACTATAATTCACCAATCCTTGTATAGTAAAAGTTCTTAGATTATATAATGAACTAACTGTTGCGGAAGACGGCTATCAGATAGAGCAAAATCACAACTGATAATTTGAGAAAATAAAAATGAAAATAAAAGAAACACAAAATTTACGTAGAAAACCCCTAAATAATATAGGGTAAAAACCACGGGCAACGGTAGAAGAATTTCACTATGAGAAAATATGAATTA